CCCCGACCTCCCCCGGCCCCTCTCACGTTGTCTCTTCGAGCCGCAGACTGCAGGAGGCATGGGGCAGCTGCAGGCCCAGCAGTTTCCCACCCTCCATCCGCACCCTCTGTCCAGATGGGGGTTGTGCGCTCCAAACCATCGCAGCCAAGGCGAGCGGTGCCTGTTCAGAGGGCCTCATCCGCCACAGGGGGTGCGGAGGTCCCGATTATTGCCCCCGGGGCTCAGCCTCCATCAACTCAACCCCAACCACGCTCGCGCCGTCTCTCCGCTTCTAAGGACAGCATCCACACCTTTCTCGCACGCCCCCACGCCCTCAGCGGGTAAGGGACAGGGCCCTGTCACTGCACGGATAGCTCTGTACAACTCCCTAAGCCATAGAAAAGGGGCCTGGAAGGGTATTAAATAAATTTGCTACCCTTGTTTGTGGTTTATACAAGCTCACCTCGGTCTGTTTCCCCTGGGTTAGATTCTGCCACCGCTAACGGACATCTCCTTACCTTACGCTGCGAGACCTGGTAGCTTCCAAGAACCTTTCCCAGCCCACCGCTGTTAGGGTACAGGGCTGCAGCGCTAACGACATTTTGTTCCAACTGTTTATTCAGACATGTGAATTAAACCAGTGTACCATTTTAAGAGCAAGCTGGAACTAATTCTGAATTTAAAAAAAAAAAAGCCTAAAAAGCAGCTCTTACTTTCCCTCCCTATAGAAAGCACTGCCAAGTAACAGTTTGCAAAGCGTTTCATTCCTCTTCTCCTCGAAGTCTGTGGCCGGATTCCTGCCAGCATCGCCACAGCTGGCTGCAGATCAACCGTTCGGGTGAGCTCACCTGCTTCTCCTTCAGAGTTCTTACTCTTCTTTGAAGCTCAGCTTGTTCTTCACCTTCCGGGCCATGTAAGCAGCTGTGAAGACAGAGCAGGTCACAGTGAAGAGGCACAGGGCAGAGAAGTTGTGCGCCAAATCACCCTGAAGAGTGGAATAGATCTGTCGCCTGGACTCATAGTCCAACACCACCGCCTCGATCTGCGCCAGCGTGCAGAGTACCAGGCACACGTGAAAAATCTGATGGCTCTGCCCGAAGAAGTGACATTTCCCGGGGAACCACTTCTCGGGGTAAGGGTGGGAGAAAAAAAAGGCGCCGATGAGGAAAAACAGCACCTGGCATTTGTGATACAGAAGGGCCGGGTCAGCCCGCTCGGAGGGAGGCGCGGTGAAGATGCGGTGGACCACGGGGCTGATGTCCAGCATGTAGGCCAGGCCAGAGGGCAGCTCCTGGCAGAGCCGGCTCAGAAGGCGAGCGGACTGGTGGTACCGGTACTTGGCGTAGCAGGAACCAGCGCAGGACAGCCACGCTAACAGGACGGCCGCCGGCATGTAAAACCCCTTGATCTTCTCGTGCCAGCTTGGCTCGATGGCGTAGTAGTAGTGCCCCAGAGCGCTGCCGTACTGGTAAATGGCTACCCCCACGTAGTCCATGAAGAAGAAGCTGTAGTGCCAGAACTCAGATTTGGCCTGTAGAAGGTGAGCAAGGGTGCTGAATGTCAGGTAGGTGATGGACGCCACGATGATGATGAGGAGGGGTTGGGCGTGCAGGTCCTGTCCAAAATCTACCCGCCGCGAGAGCTGCTGGAACCGCAGCAGCAGGATCAGCGCGGCCACCAGATGGGTCCAGACATTGATGGCCTCGTTGTGCTGCTGGAAGAGCGTCGAGAAGTAATAGCGCCAGGTCTGCTGCACCGGCCGGTAGCCGGTGTGGATGTAGGGCTTCCAGAAGACCTTCGGCACCTCCGAACTGCTGACGGTGGAGGGAGAGAGGGGGGCCAGCAGCTGAGGGACCTGCCGCACGTTAATGAAGAGGCGGCTAAGCTTTTCGGTGACGACCGTTGCCATGATGCAGCCGAACTCCAGTTCCCCGCCGTGCAAAACAACCTTTGGGACGGAAAGAAAATTTTCCTGCGGGGTTTGATAGTGACTTTACCAAAAATCAACAAGCAGGGGCTGTTTGAATGCTTGGGCTTTTTTCCAAAGATACGTAAAAACATGCGTGACTGGAGAGTGGCCTCATTATAGCTGAAATAAAAGAATCACCAAAAATAGTAATATGAAGGAGGCTGAAGGGAGATTTAAGAACCCCCGCCGGAGTGCCCCATGCTGTAGAGGCAACCTGTCTGGAGGAGTACAGAGGTAGAGGACATGAGTATGGGGTTCATTGCCACAACAATTAACGCACCAGGATGCGTCAGTTCCTAGGCTCATCCCTTCCCAGCAGTTTGGGAACTGCTAAACAAACTAAACATCCTAAACAAACTTCCCGCCCCAGGAGCGGCCCAGATTTTCCCCCTTGTAAGCTTTGCGGTATCCGTCTTTACAAGTAACAACGAGCCGCCTTCCCACAAGCGGCGAGACGACCTGCTCTGCCTCACAAGGGGTGCATCCGAGAACGTAAATAACTGTGATGCCAGCAACAGAAGATGTAACTTCTGCGTTTAGAGTTTTTACCGTCTTTTTTCAGCTCCTCGTTTTCCATGCGGCTTTGCACAAAAACAACGCAGCTCGAGCGAGTTCATCCTGTTGCATCACTGAGGTCCAGCAGCCTAATCTTTGCGAGCAGGCATTTCAATATTTACATTTCTGAAGCTGCTGTCCTTACCAAGATAAAGGCAGCCTTGCTGGCTTGTTCTGCCTTTTCACGGCAGCCTTAAAAACATATCGAACAAAACCTGCTCGAAACGAGAATTCCCCCCCCCCTCTTTACCTGCTCTTGCTCAGACAAGTTCTGAAGAAAACAGCCCGACTCCCGTCTAGCTCCAGTGCTGATTTACACCTCAACTCCTGGCAAGTGCAGCCATTTCAGGGACAGCTCAGGCAGGATAAGCCCTTCAAAGTTTGGGAACAGGAGGAGGAGGAGGAGGAGGGGATGGGACTGTTTATTTTAAAAATCTCTGTAATTTCCTCATCAAAATGGGGCAGATAGGTCTGTAACTCATGCCTGCCTGAAGCTGAGGAGCACAGACGCAGATAAAAAACAGGCTGTTTGCTGCTCAGCTTCCCTCTTGAATGCTCTTTTCCCACCTCGCCTGGTTAAAGAAGCTCCACGTCAAAAACCGCCCCGGCTCGGGGCAGCACCTCGCAGAGGGCAATCCTGACCCTTGCCTGGCCTCCTAAACCCTCCTGTAACACTGCAACACACGCAGGCTGCCAGTGAAAAATTAACTTCATAAACCTCTTCCGGACTTGCAGCTACCGCGCTGAACTGAAACAGCCTCGAGTCCTGCCGGGGAGATGTGGGCAAAAGCAGAACTTCCCAGGTTAAGCTATTTTGACCAAAATTCTACAGGCAGTTTGGAAGAAAACGCTGCCCTTCGGATGCCCGGAGCACTTGCCTCTGTGCCAGGGCTGCCGCTGCCCACGAGGACGCTTGGGTACGTGGGGAGGGGGCTCAGCTCCAGACCGCGTCTGACCCCGTCACGGCTGCCAGAAGACAAACTCCTACAGGAAAGGCACCCCTGGTTCTGCGCAGGGAGACGCTGTGGCAAAAGCAGCGGGAAAAACTGCGTTCAGAGCAGCCAGGCACGAGGCAGGAAAAAGGGAGCCGTGTTTACTTCAGGTCCTCCAAAACTTGTTGGAGCAGGACTTAATTTGCAAAGCTCTTCCTAGCTACGAAGCCTTGAGCAATGCTCAGTTACGAACGGAACACATCCTGCGCAGCGCTGGAAATCATTAATCTGGCTTGGACTCTGAATAAGAACCTCCACTACCTACGAAATGTCAATAACGTTGCCTCAAATGCCTGTTACTTCCTACGGAGCATTTCCTTTCTCAAGCAGCATCCACCCATCCTGCTGAATTTTTTTTTTTTTTTAGTGACACAGGCTCAGCCCCCAGCTGTTTACATGCCCGTTCGCTCCCATGCGTACATCTGGATTTAGCCTTCTAAAGCACAAATATGTTTAAGTTACGATCGTTTTCTTCTCGGCACAGGCTCACCGAACCCTCGGTACACACGAGCCGGGCACGTTTTCGGTGGCTGGGCTCCAGGCCCCGTGCCCAGACAGCCTCTCCCTCCTCCCAGCAGAGCAGCGGCACCAGCCCTGCCAAAACCCTTTCTGGGGCAGACAGGGATCGATCCCCCGCTCCTGGGAGGTTTGTTTTTTTTTTTCCCGGGGGGGGGAGAAGGGGGGTAACTTCAGGACGCGGGTGCAGCTGGGACTCAGGG